TACTTTTTAATTGGATTTGTATACAACTTTCACTAGTGATGAATCAAGCTCACAACCCTTGTTATGTAATTTAATTACAACGCAGTAATGTGTCATTTAAATACAGATGATTGACACTTGGACACAGCTGATGTTGTAAGGGTCTCAGCTGACCACAAGTGGGAGTTTGAAGTTCATTGTAGCGCGATTGTGTGAGTGTGAGTGGACGACGACTAGTGACGCAAAACACAACTGAGCTGTTTACCAGAGCATTGTGTGCTCGGCTCGGGGCTGGTACCATGTGTTCACGGGAATTAAAAGCCCACCCCTCTCTGACGACTCCGCCCCAAAAAACAAGGGAATAAAGCTCTCCGAAGGGGAGCAATCATTAACAACTCAAATTTCAATAAGCCGAAAATTAGGTGACATTCGAACTAACACATGGGTGCACAAAGGCTCGGAAGCGGAGGCCTCGGGTTCGATTCAGTGATTTATTCCGAGACGTTTTTCTGCCCCCGAGGTGTCGAGATCGAGTTGTCGCCAAACGGAAATATCCTTTTGAGGGTTTTTAAAAACTACCGCGCCCATTGAGGAGCCGGTCTGTGGATTAGCTCCTGTCACTTTTTACCACTCACAATCGTAACGAGTTTACATAACAGTTTGGTCCCTCTTCCCCCCAAGCATAGTGGTGTGTGATTGTAATGTGTATACCCGGGGATATACGGCTCACATTATATGCTACGGAATCTGACGATGGTAGTAGTACTTAATAATGTATTATTTAAATTAGTAAAAATTAAACTTATGTGCATGAAATAAACTCGACGTTCATAAACACTAAAATTATTAAACATGTGTAAGCATATTAAGTATAGAGAAGCATAAAAAATCGCATTTTATGTTCAACGTATTATTAGATTATTAATTGCATGTTCAAATAAAGAGCGTAAAGCAAATTTTTTACTTATTACAGATTTTGATCAACTTATCCATTATATTTTATGTTGGCAAAACGAACAACTCATCCGTATTTATATTTATTGAACAAACGCTAGCCTATCTATTCGAATTAAAAGTACAAGAGGGTTTAACTCCGCGATACTATGCAATTGACTAAGTATCGACTAAATAGTATTAATTACATTTTAAACCTAAGTCCGTATAGTATTGGTAATACACACCTTGCTTTCATATCTCAAAAAGATTTTGCATCTCTATAAATTGGAAATAATCTAAAATCTAGTGAACGATCATAAAATGATTATGAGTGAACTTTTTAAACTAATACCACAGACAAAATAGCTAATGCCATCACAACGAAATATGTTTAAATAAAACGGTATCATTATTAATAATCATTAATAAGTAATCATTATTAATCAAGTGATAAAATACTAAAGTAATCCACTTAAAATATAAACACAGGCACTAATCTGAAGGTTTAAGGCCGAAAGATACCACTCCAAAACACGCCTTTCCGTACACATTCTATCGAAGCAGTGTCTCAGGGGTATTTTTTCGAAGCAGTGTGTTTCGGAGTATGTTTTTTGGGAGCAGTGATGACAAACTTCCTGGATCTATTTCTAAGTAAAGCCTTTCGCAGTAGTGCTTGACCATGTGTGGTTTGTCAGAGCAGTGCCTTGAATAATGAATTTCAGAGCAATAACTCATGTCGCTTAGAATAACGTACTACTGTACGAACGTTCCGCGCCATTGTTTTAAGTAATTTACAGTTCTCCAGGCAGATGATTGATCAGCTGATGATTGAATGTTAAGAGGTGAGAGTGATGTGGAGTGGGAGGAGAAGGATAAGTCCCGTCACCCCCAGGTTATCCCGGTCCTGAGGGACTCTACCCTGACGTTTACGGCTCCAATCTCCAATCTTTCGATCCAATCACATTCCTCCGTGTTCTCAACACTTCAGATTTTCTGTTGCTTTTCTTAAATGGATTTTATATAAGAAATTTTCTCTAAAAAAACTATCTTCCATTCTTGATTTCTTGGAGCAATTAGTGTACAAGGTATAGTATAGTGTACAAGACAATTATGTACAGGTATATTAGAAGTTTTGTTCGTTTAAAAGTAAATGTATTATAAATACTTAGCCGCTTAAATATCAGCTAAGTTGGGAAATGTAATGTATATTACTACTAGCAGAGTACCCGTCCTTCGTACGGGGTTGGTGTATAAGTATAAAGTGCTTATTGCAGTTATAATCGTGCTTTGCGTTTGCTATTGGAGAAAACACGGTTTAAGAAAGTTGTCTTCTTTTAATTTACGGTATGCTTTAGTATAGCACATATACCATTGCCATAATGTTCTACCACTGCATCAAAACAATGAAAAGTGAAATTCTCATTTTTCACAGCTTTTTGTTACTATTTGGTTAAAATTAGATGTTGGCATAAATGCAAAAATAACCATGTCCTCTCCCATTGCAAACGCAAAGTAGAACGACTATAACAGCAATAAGCATATACAGTACGCAAACTTGGTCTTATGTGATCGTTGACGCCAACCCCGTACGAAGGACGGGTACTCTACTAGTAACAGTATAAAACTTACCAATTTCTTTTCTGTTTATAGTTTGACTTATTAATTGTTTTAACAATTATTTGAGAACAAAAATCCCTCCTCATAAATATCAATTTTTTACCTTTAGGTGTTTAACCATTGAAAAACTTGAGAATGTTAACCCATTATTTTTTAACTAAATCATAACCTGTTATACTGTTTAAAGTCAACTTTGAAAACCGAAGAAAATCTTTGAAATAGTGAATATTAACTTCTACAATAATTAACTTGCCACTGCTAGTTTAGGGTAATCATACTGTGGTAAAGAATGCACTTATGTAACATCGAATGACATTTGGACCAAGGTGGTCAGTGCTTATCTTTATATCAAAGTAACGATCAAATACGATGAAACTGTTTATCTGTTCGAGATAATTTTAACGGATTCAAGATCTTATTCTAACTCAGTGGACCAGCAGCTCAGTGTCTCGGCAATATCACGTTGGTGATTGGCGTGAACTGTACAATATTCCTCACCAGATCTGGCGCGCACCACCTTAGATAATGTAACATGTTAGCATAAGTTTTAAATTACTAAAAATAAATAAGCTAGTAATTTTTAGAAAATAGTAAATGTATGTTAAAAATATTATGTAGTATTTTGAAGAACCTAATTTATTATGCTGGTAGAATTAGTATTGTCGTAGAAAAATAATGTTTTATATCGTTGTTTTAGTTATTTGATATTATTATTATCATGTACATGCTGTAGCCCAGTAATCTATTTCTTAAACATTTTAAAGAACACCTAGTGTAGACCTTCGTATAATTTACACCTATTGTACACCTTAATATAATTTACACCTATAAGTTATGTCAATATTAGTTATAGCCTGAATTGGATTCAGAAATTATGTTAATGTAAACTCAATATAATGTGTACTATGTATGTTTAAAATTTTAAAATGTTTTTCTTGTGAAATAAACTGCAGTTAGAATTATATAGTTCGAATTTATATTTGGTACCTTTGTTTAAAAATCGAAGTATAAATAATTTATTCATGTATTGTGTTATACTTGTCATAGGACACACCTCTACCGCGCGCTGAGTGTACGATCTGGTAATTTCTCTTATGTAACTTCATGGTAGGGTCTAATTATACATGAGTACCTGTCACATCGGCTGCATTCCTTCGCAGGCGGTTTGATTGTTGGCGATGACAAAGATGTGGAAAACGTCCGTTGACGAAAACGCTCGTTCCTACGGCTTATCTTGTTTGGAATAAACAAACACCTGTAGGCCCGTTAGTAAATTGGGACCATTAATCGGTCCCTGGTTAGAAGGGCATTTAATTGGAATGGGTGCTGGCCCTCAGCCCTATAAATCCAATGCACCTGCGCGCGAATCCGTTAGTCCAAATTAATAACCACTCTTCGATCTTCAATTATTTCTTCAGCTCTAATGTGTCGACCCAAAGACAACCTTAATTGTAGCATTGGATAATTACTACCCTACTATCTAAGTGTGAAGATGATGAAACTGTTACAAATCAAAAGTTGGATCGCAGTATTCTATAGTGTTCAAAATATTAATTATAATAATCTAACCTTTTAAAAATCGCTACAACATATTATTGACGAACTTTTTGTAAGTCAAATTATAATGTACTATTCATGACATCTATTGTTATAGAGTCAAATTTACCACAAATAGGGACAATCAAGGTCATGAATCAAAATTAATTTTATCTTTGTTTTTGTATATCATGGTTTTGGTCCAAAGTTAGTGTAGTTTTTATCAACTCGACAGTATCTCAAGTAAGAGATGAAAAGGCGATGTTTAAATACTGTTCACTGTTAAAGCGAAAAGATAGGAGAAAGGTAGGACCTATGATAACGCTACGAGCGACTTTGAAACCTATGTCTACTAAGTAAACAAGTTGGATCTAAGGTAAGCCTTACATTTTAACAAAAATTTTTCTCCTACTTAGAACTAAATACTTAACCTGGATTCATTTCATCATTGATTGCTTGGAGATACTTCCTTATAGATTATAACTTGTATTCCATTAGTTAAAGGTATATGTAAAGCGAGTTTTTACGTTAGCTATTCACCTGTTGTTTTTCTAACTTTTAAACTATTCTAAGTAAGCATATTTAAATATGTTTTGGCATTTGGTATAATAATCAATTAATAATGTCCACACTACAAATTACACCCTGAACTAATAAAAAAATATTAGAGATCAGTCCACTCAAAGTAACAGGATATGAAAATGGATACTAAACCAGGCTTCACTTCTCACGTTAAGATGGGAAGACTACTTGCAACATCCAAAGTCAATGTGTTACTTAGCCATGTTATTATCATGCAATTATCGGTTCCAAGCATTAACACTGGAGGTTTACCAATTGATTCTTGGTTTGTGTTTCCTTATTACAAAAAATATCAATCCGTTGTGGAATATTAATAAATACGATTGTTACATTTAAATTGTTGCATTTATTTGAAAATGTACATAACACGTATGAAGCAAAGGTCTACGACAACATCGAACATGGTACATTTTACATGGTAACCGTATTTAATATATTTACAACAGTTTGTAATTTCATTTTAGATCCAAGAATATTTTGTGAAGTGGAAGTACTGCACAGTAACTTGTCAATTTACAAATCACTTAAGATTGTGTAAACGCAGGTTGTCATATTCCAATTGAGAAAATAAATGTCAAGGTTTTGTACAATGCTTAGTGAAACGTAATTCTCTCAAGGGACCTTTGTTTTAAAGTTAAATGTTAATGTTCATAAAGGTACTCAATGACAATTCTTTACAAATAAATAAACTTACTTCCTAAACCTATCTATATAATACATTACTATCACAAATCTTTAATACTAACTACTATTTTGTACATAATTAGGTACATTTATTACAAAACGAGATCGACAAATTCAACACTGACTAGTCCTTACATATTTGTACATAAAACACCTTCCTCTCACTTTTCATCGAATATGGAAAAGAAATCAATTATTTTGTTACAAGTTTCAAGTTAGTACATTATGAGATTCAAGCATGAAAACCATCAATTTATAAGGAAATGTTATGTAAATGTAAATTCCTAATATTTGGTCTATAGACAGAGCAAAACAATAGTTTTCATTCATAGTTGCAATTCGGATCTTGATGGGAAATTATAAAATAAAATAACAGTGAATCACTCTATCTCTCATGTATGTTAGGTATGAAATGTTGTTTTTTACTTAAGTCTTATTGTTATAAAATAGTTAGCAAATTCATAACTAAAATAACTTAATATAAATCGCAATTTCCACATTTAAATGACTATTACCAAACGAAATTGTAATTATTTGCGGAATACTTAGGTCATAGCACAGCCTAATGGGTGAGAGTTACCCAAATTTAATTTAGTAATACATACATTAATAAGGTTAATAGTTTTATTTTCAGTAAATGATACAGACTTTCAATGGCCAGTTTGTATCATTGTCCGAGCATGAGATCATAATAGGTTTGGTTCCTGAATATTGAAAATATAACTAAACTATTAATAGAGAATGAATTATTAAACAATGTACTTTACAACAAGTGACGAAAATGAATAATTTTGCTAGCACCAAGTACCAGTGTAAGTGTAGGATTGTCGATGTATTGCGAAATTAATGTTAGAGTTCTTTGCTAGGTGTGTAACAGAAATTGTCAGAGCCCGTTGGTAGGGTTACTCTGTAAGGATGGAAGGAAAAAGTGGTCGGCTCCTCCACAGGGTAAACGTGAGGTAAACTTCAGACTAGGCTAGGCAAGGGCGCACGAGGAGGTGAGGACTGCGAGGAGGACGGGGGAGTGTGATGGTGGTGATGGTGGTAGTAGAGGGAAGGGTACGCGGAGGAGGCGGAGGTGACAGGGACGGACAAGTGATGCTGTAGTCCAGGAGTAGACGATGCCTCGTGGTACAAGATGGGAACTCTCACCAGTCTCTGTGCTGCCTGGGCCATGTTCGCGGCCTCCAGCTCGGCCGCCAGCTGCCTCTTCCACTTGTTCCGCCTGTTCTGGAACCATATCTTCACTTGAGTTTCTGTCAAATGCAAAGACGCGGCTAACCCCGCTCTCTCTGAGCTCGACAGATATCTCTTCATGTCGAAGGTAGATTCTAACTGGAAGACTTGACTTCTAGAAAAAACCGTCCTCGTTTTCTTTTTCCTCTTGTTATTGTTGCTCATCAAGCCTCCGTCCTTCTTGTCGTCCTTGGAGTCGAAATCGTCGTCTCCTTCCTCCACTTCATCACCGTCCACAACCATGTCGTCGTCGTGCCGTCGCTCCGACATGTAACTGTGCATGTTCTTCTGACTGGCGGCCGCGAGCTGCAGGTAGGAGTCGTGCTGATGGAGGAAGCTGGGCCCGAGGAGAGAGCTGAGGTGATGGTTACCCAGAGGTTGCCTCGGGGACGTCGCTTCCTCACCTAGAGAGCTCGCAGGGCTGTGGCTGCGTCGGTGAGGGTCAGCCCCAACAGAATGTCCATGGTCCTTGGATTGGCTGCTGGAGGGTGGTAGAGGAGATCCACTCCGAGGCCCGACACTGTGAGGAGTGCTCGGCCTACTGGTCTCTTCGTTTGTCGTCGTCGAGCCACCTGCAAGAAAATATGAATATAGAGAACGTGCGAAACTGAGGTATTTAAATACTTTGAGCGTTTCATGCGGCTCTTGTTATTGAATCGAGTTAGCAACATTATAAGGACAAGGAAATATAAGCTAATATATAAGCAACAACAGGTGTTTCGAGGAACGGACCCAACGATGTTATGATTAACGACTATTTCATTATTCTGCAGTTGTGTATCCAAGACCATACAAGTCTGACACTGGAGCGAAGCTGATAAATGGTATTCTTTGATCTAGATACCGCAACACTCAATCAAGTCACGGCGGGGTTTCAAGGTGCTTCCGGCCGAACTAAAACTGGGTGCAAGATTAATCGATTGTTGTTTATAATGACGTAAATTAACTATTTAATCGAGATAAAGATGAGTATTTATTACCCTCTCAAAGCTGTTAGCTAATGTTTGAAGTCTAGTGCCCAATTCTATGTCCGGATTAATTAAGTGGTAAAACAGGGAGATTCTAAAAGAAATAAACATCTTTGACTGTCTAATACTGCTATGTTTTAAATACAAGGAGAATGCAGCCTATGTTTTAAGAAATTAAAAAAAAATCCATATAGTTTTTCCATATATTACAAACGTTTAATGTGAGCATTTTGGTTCACATAGCATAAGACAATCATTTTTTAGTTTTGTCCAAACTCCCAGAAGAGTGATCTGATCAATACTCTTTACTGCAGTGACAATCCTTTCTTTTTAGCTGCAAAAGGTTTGACATTAGAGACTGTACAAACACTTTATATTTCACATAATCCTACACATATGCAACGAGGAAATAACTCAGGGCTTTGCGGAGAACATCCCAACATTAGGTCGATGTCAGCTGCACGGCCAGATCCAGGGCAGGGCGTCTTGAGATTCTCATCTAGATATTCAAATTACGTATAGCTTTATAAAAACATGTTCAGCTGTTTTTTTTCATATAAGCTTTTAACCGTTTTTCGTAGAATTTAAAGTTATAAACTCACCTCCCTTACCGATTTCTTCGGAGAAAGTGCAATAGTTACAAGATATGACCCGAGTTAGCTTTATCAACTTTTACCGCAGCCCTCTCAGTGCTTTATTATTTGTTCAAACAACCTTTAATGCTGTGCTTCTTATGTACTTCGTAGCTAACTTTATAACAGGATGGTATTTACTACATCTGGTGCTAAATCAACGTTATAGGCCAGTCAATAACAGCATTCAACATCGCAAACGCGCATGTATCTACGATTTTTTTATATGTTGTTAGGTCCCCTAAGAGTAGTTTATACCCAAGTTTGCAACCCTGAAAACCCTGTGCTACTCCCATAATACTTGAAAAACTGTAAAATTCTGGCTATTTTTTTGTTTTATTGGAAAAAACGAACTGTAGGAAGCGTTTATCAGGTATATGTGTCCTATACTTTTTTTAAGATAACTAAATTTGTAACAATTGGAACCCAGTTAGAGCCCATTAAGTCCTTTTTTTGCGGATATACAGTTAGTAAAAAAAGGAAAATTTTTTCAAACATTGAAAGATTATCGGTAGGCTCATTTGCTATGATGCGTAAAGGCTGAAGTAATGATCATAGAGTGAAGTCTTTGGGAAGCGTTTTGTAGAGAATTTAATAAGCTTTAATTCAATTCCAAAGTTGTGTGTCTTTTGTCTTACAGTTTCACACAACAATTTAAAACATAAAAATATCATAATTTGCGTAAATGTTGTATTTGGATCCTTCACAAAACGTCGCTCTGATAAGTTCTGGTCTGGTTTGTGGACAGATTCGACCATGGAACACGTACTGATGAGGTCCATGAAAAGCCAGGGTGGGCTAACTCAAGGTCGGGGAATATCAAGCAGTGTGTTGGCGCGCTGGTCAGTAGGGTTGGTTTCCATGCTCAACATTTGCGAGGAGGTGGAACGTTTCACTGAAACTATGACTCTAACATCAGAACAGCACGTTGATATGAGGGCATCCCAAATTGCGAGAGACACTGCAGATACCAAAAAAATAAAGATCTGGTTCAACACCCACCCTCCATTCCCGGTCAGCGATCGCCTATTTTCCATCCACAGTGGTATCATCGGAGGCCCTGATATAAACTGGCACTTATCTTAAGAACTGGGAGCAGGAGGAGTAAAACAAATTGTTGGTAACAACTTTGGTAAAGTGACTTTCAAACGAAAGGACAAAGTGAAGACCTTGACGTCAGGCACCATGTCTGTAAAAGTATTCAACAAGAGAGTTGATGTTGATCTCCTTACCATATTCCAGAGGGTCTGCGTCACAAAACAATCAGATGAACAATTGAAGCAGCATTTTGCGTATGAGCTATCACCGTATCCACTGTCCTTATTCATTGAAGAAGGAATGCACAAGGGCACAAAATCTTCCTTCTATTCAGCATTTACACCAAAACCACTAAAACCTCATCCACTAAAACATCATCCCAGGAAACGAAGCGTTCATAGTGATTGATGGTGGTTACATCTTGCACAAGGTTATCTGGCATCGAAATGATTCAGTCAGATCAATTGTGGTGGATCAGCTGAACGCCTGTGACGCTCTACTTCTCTCTCATGCCAAACGTTTTGTTTGATGAACCAGCACCCATCAAAGTGTCCCAAGTAAAAATGCTCTCAAATGAATCTAACAAACACCGACCGATCACCATGTTGTGTACCGAATTTGAGATGCATGGTATTTAAATACATCAATCTCAAGAGGACGCCGATGCTGATATAGTGAGGACTGCCCTCTCCAAGAGTTCATCGTTCGATCAGGATTTTATCATTGGGGAGGATGACGACCTACTGTTGCTCCTCAACGGATTAAGCTCTGGAGTCTGGACAGACGAACGTGTACTTCCAGAAAGGCGGGAGAAGTGGATCAGAGTGTGCCCAATATCCAGCAAATTCTTTCACATGTGGAGAAATGCATGTTCCATGGGAGATGGTTTTGTTCCTGCATGCTATTAGTAGGTGTGACACCACATCTGCCTTTTCTGGCAAAACAAGATGAAGTGTCATAAAATACATCTATAAAATGTCAATTTCACATTCTTGCACTCTTTAAAGAAATAAATAATAACTGTAGTCAATGTTCCTACATTGATGACATCATTAACGGAAAGTCTATTTTAATATTTTAATATTTTTTTTTTAGGAATCTATAAGGCCTAGACACGCCACTTTGGAATTAAATTAAAGCTTATGAAATTCTCTACAAAATCTTGCCTAAAGACGTTTCTCTATGACCTTTACTTCAACCGATACGCATCTTGGCAAATGAGCCTATATTCGATAATCTTTCAATGTTTGAAAAAATATTCCTATTGTTTACCAACTGTATATCCGCAAGAAATGGACTTAATGGGCTCAAACTGGGTTCCAATTGTTGCAAATTTAGTTAACTTTAAAAAAGTACAGGACACATATACCTGATAAACGCTTCCTTCAGTTAGTTTTTTTCAATAAAACAAAAAAATAGCCAGAATTTTACAGTTTTTCAAGTATCATAGGAGTAGCACAGGGTTTTCAGGGTTGCAAACTTGGGTATAAACTACTCTTAGGGGGCCTAACAACATATAAAAAAATCGTAGATACATGCGCGTTTGCGATGTTTGCCTTTTTTCCTGTATATATTGACTGGCCTATTAAGCAATAGTAGCTGATTAAAATGTCTTTAAACTCAAGCACACAAAACTATTTCATTAAAATTATAAGGACCATTTTCTTTCCAATCACTTAACTTTGAAACTGTATACAATGCTTGCGTTGTTGGTGACAATGAGCTGTTTTTATGAAAACATGAAATATTTTACTATCCATTAACACCAACTACACTGACAATAACAACGTAACTATTAGTTTTAAGACGTATATATTGTATTTTAGATTTAAAATTTATACAGTAACTGGGCCTTTGTGTGGACAAAACATGTTCCATTTTTATTGTATCCAACCTAAAGTACAATACTTTCAATATATAAGAAACCACAAGACGTTCTCAATTGTTACTTCCGAAATTAAAAGCTCCCATTCCACGTTGTTACTCCTTCGCATGTTAACGCTCGTAGGATCAGCTGACGATCAGCTGCTGAAGGTGGAGGAATGTCCACATGGCTTCTGGTGATTGTCCTGAGAGGCTTCATCGATTGTTATTGGAGATATCCCGGTGTGGTTTGTGTTCCGAATAATTGCGTTACGACATCGTCTACCATAATACTGTGTTCATTCTTTCGGAACCCCAGCTACGTGTACATATTCCCGCACTACAATGATACACTGACGTTTACTTAATAACTATGTATGAACACATTTTAAGGGATGTGTAGTATTACGTTTATTGCCAGTTAAGTCGCTAATTTGGTTCCTATATTTTCGTAATGGTATTCGTAAATATTCTCTTACCAAAATACAAGTTTACAGTTTAATAATTTTAAAAACTGGAATTTAAGTAAGATACATCATAATATGAAAGATAAAAAATTAGAGATCAAATGAACTGTTATCACAAAAAATAACCTTATCCATCAGTATTATAATTTCATCACTAGGGCGCAAAGTTACACTTTTCGATTCGAGTACGAGCTTTACAATCAAGGCGAAGACGAGGTCGGGAAGTAAGCGAGGTTTGAAAGGATATGCCTACTTTTTGCCCGTGCGATGAACTATATTTTTCGTCATATTATTAGAGCTAACTAAGCTAGAAAACTATTTAACTTTTCATGTTAAGACATCTCAAAACGACGTTGAATTTTGTAGGCCTATTGATATCAATCTTAGGCCTCATCCTTGTTAACACTTAATTGTTTGTTTTGATATTACAATTATTTAGCCAAATCATTCATTTTTTACCAATTTTATAGTTAAACTCAAATGTTACTTTTCCAGGTATCTCGTAGACTAATAAAACTGAAAGGAAGTTTTTTTTAATAAGAATGAAAACTCACATTCTATGGTCTAATGGTAGGATTAGTGTATCTCTACAAACAGTTTTCGA